GGCGTACCCTGCCGGTGGCATGCACACGTATTGTGTAGAGGACCACAAGACCTGCAGTCGCCGCGGCAGTTCTTGAGCAAAGAACCTGCCAACAACTCTGGTACCGTTACCCGGTAATACGTCCCGGTCGCCTCATGCAGAATCACCAACAGATTACCTGGCCACAACTGCTCCGGCACACTTTCTCCAGCTGCCAACTCCAAACGCTCGTCCCACCTGCAAAAGCTAGCACCACCCGCGACACATCCAACCCCCCCTTCCACTTGAGCCACGAACGAATTCGTGGTACACACACACGAGCGAACAAATCCCACGACGAACAAATTCGAGCACAAACGAACCCAAGCGTTCAAGGTGTGCCACATTGCCCTTACTTGGATGTATCCCTTTCCGGTTTCGACTGCTGCCAGTCGAAGAAAGCCCAACCGCCATGACGAAACAGCATTCAAAAATCACTTTCTCGCAAAATCACTTTGCCGCAATTTGGTTCGCAAAATCCGACGCTGTTGAGACGACGACTCCGCAACTGGCTTCTCCGTTGGAAAACCGTCTCTGCGCGACAGGAGCTCTGGCGAATCGCCTCCGGATGACACTCCCACGGGACCAGAGGTTTCCTTCGGAACCTCCAGAAGCTTCTCCGGGAAGTAATGTACCCCCACCCCATGAGGCATTCCCCCAAGAGATATGACCCCAAGAGGCATCCTGGAGCCCGGCGCACCGGCTTCAAGATGATTCGGGAGACCCCCTAGATTAGTAACAGTTCGCTCGCCAAGACTGCGCTCCATGTGGTTCATAGTCCGAGGACCAGTTGTCTGGTTCTCCTTGGACATGTCTCGCGCCTGGCTTCGCACCATGTTGGACACGTTCTGCAAGTTGGGCGCTTGCAAAGTGCCTAGGTAGCGGAAGTCCATGTCTCTTCGGTCGGCGTCCGCAGCGGACGGTCGAGACACCGACGGCCGGGAATTAGGCGGGTCGTAGTGTGTAACCCGCTGAATGTTCGTAATTGGCTGGAGCGGTCCCATGTTTTGAGCGTGGTTGTCTGAAATTGAAATTGGCTGCGACATGCTCGGGAAGGGGCCGGGTTCCGTCCTGGAGAGTCCCCGCACGGGTTCTAAAGGCGACGACCCAGGTCGGACGTCCAGTGCAGTCGCCTCCGTCTTCATATAGTTCGCGGATAGGCCGCGCGTGTGAGACAGAAACGCTACCCCCGACCCCGCCTGCGCGAGACGCCGCGCGTCTATTAACGATCCCTCGGCCACTGGGAATCCACGCATGTCATATATTCGCCCCTTTGGGCTTTTTTGGGACTCCTCAGCGGCCTGCGCATGCTGCATCATTACCTTCCGCTGCATCAAATTCAACTGCGACGAGCGCATCGGACCGCCATGCTGACCATTATCCGGTCTGTAGAGTCCACTCGAACCGTCCGTCTGCACAGGCTGTGACTGAACACCACTCGGCTGCAGACCACTCGGTTGCAGACCACTCGGTTGCAGACCACTCGGTTGCAGGCCACTTGGTCGCAGACCACTTGGTTGCAGACCATTGGGTCGTAAACCATCTGGTTGCTGACCACTTGGTTGCAGACCACTTNGTTGCAGAC